ATGAAAAGGGTTTTCAGGTTGGTGTCGTCCCAAACGCTCACGTGGGTGTCATAACCATATTTACCTACGATACACAATTTACCCCCCCCCCCCCCCCCCCCCCCAACACCAACGCACTAATCATTTCCACAAGGATTCAATACATCTTATGCGGAGCCTTATTGCAGACGCAGACAACCTAGCCAAGCTCTACACATTCCGGCTATTTTGAGGCTTCACATTTTCTATTATTCTTTTGTCCTCTTCATTTCGGAATCTTCGGTCAATACGAGTTATCACGTTGAAATATTGAATTGATGTCAATTCTCTCGTGACACACATAGGAACACAAAACTAGCGCAATGATTTATCAATCCATACATCGATAAATGAGTAGATGTAAATTTTCATACATACACTAACGAAGTCGACGATAGTTCTTGTCAACCACGGCTCGGAATTGAATTTTTGGCAAACGAGGCTTGCAGCCAAGTGGCTCCCCCTCCTAATAGTATCATTTTATTCAGCTAAAGACAACCTACTACCATTCGGGCTTACGCGGAAATGCAGTCAACGGAGAACTTTCCAGCGAGTAGCGAACACCAAGTCGGATTTCATATCCGGACAAGTTATATTGACATCCGAGACACCGATAATGGTAGGGCTGCTATGCAGATGAGATAGATTATGGACATTTGAGAATACGATTCTTTGGCTTCAATATCGACGGTCTCATGTTGCACTGCCGCCATCTTTTATGCTAGGGATCCCGTACTTTCCTCCCTTTCATTGCGGAGATAACTTGGGCAAATTGGATGTGGCGCTGACTGGTAACAGCTTACTTTTGGCAGCAAATATTGACCGTAAAGATCAATAATTGCAATTGTTATGTTCGTGAATGTCGACGTCTCATCAATGAAGCTTCCAGGGGGGGGGGAGGGTTCGGATAACCCCTGTCCACCTGGAAAATTCTGCTATTCTTCTTCCTTCGCTCAGCGGCTCAAATGCGAGCCAAAGAGAGCTCTCATGTCCCAACGCTAGTACAAATCCGCCGCACTGTAAGCAATCCTCCGGGTCAACTCCCGTAATCCGCACTCAAAAGTTTATTGATCCAGCCATAACTCGGAGTAAAAGACATACCAAACTAGTAAATACCCTTAACTACGTGTCAAGGCCCAACTTGGTTGAATAGGCCTTGCCGAGCTGCAACCAAATCCATGCTAGTGAACAAATTCTGCTATTCTATTCACGATCACATCCCCATCAATTTGATACTATTTCATTTGGGTATTCACATGTACTATGCCTTTTCCAGGACTCTGCTTACGAAGTCCCTAATCCTCGCTCCCTTAAGAACCAAAGTAGGAATCTCATCAGTGCCATTATCATAGTAATAGAGGATAAATCAGGAGATATTTGATACCTATCGCTGAAACGCGAGGAATATACGGACGGAGCGCTATGTATTCCGCACCGCACTCGAGTCACACGACTAGAGTACACTTGAAATTCATTAAGAAACGTTTTGTAGGCAGCATATCGTGGTGGTAGTTAGCTCCGGCCGATTTACGCATTGTATCAGTCCCAGATATTTATAGGCATCAAATAAGCACACCTAGGTGGTAGGCGAACTCTTTGAAGACTCGTACACCGACGCAGGCGGAAATGGCCCCCTATTTTTTGAGAATCGATCTGGCAGCCTGCTTAATGTAGAAGGACCCCTACCTTTACTTACTCAGGTACCCAAGTAGGCAATAAAAGAGCGCTGATGAATAAGTATTCACCCATTTGATACGGTCATCATAGGGGGGGCTTGTCTCATATGTAGGTGACATATGCACAAGCGGACGACGTACTCTATCACCTAATTACCTAAGTCAAAGATTTTCACTTAGATAATAAGTAACAAATGTAAGTAACAAATGATGCAATGAGGGCGAAGTACCGTACATTGTCATCCAGCTTCCGTTATTGGATTTCTACTGCCGGCATAGAAGCAATCCAGTCAGCAAGGATCAGGATCCAGAGATCCAACGTGCCTTCAGATTAGGAGCCCATCCATCCTATCTCCCATTCATCGAAAGCGAGAGGTTCTACAACGTTTCTTCAACAGTCGCAGTCGCATCTCCTATATTATGCATGTTGGTGGTTATTCACTTGGTCCTGTATGAACTTTATCACTTTCGAGGAGGCTCTGACGAGAGGCGGGGCCAGGATGTAGATCCTTCAATCCTCTTTCAGTCCTACGACCCAATACTTCTGCCCTTGCTCAAAAGTGGTCACGATATGGCCACCATGTTTTTTTGATGTATGAAAAAAATTCTTTGACGATGAGAAGGGCCTCGTAAGAGCTTTGGTTTGAAGGCCTTATCTCACACCGAAGGTAGATGACCTAAGCAATCACTTCCCAGCTGAAGGTTACCTTCCTACCCAAAACATAGAGACGAGAGAAAAAAAAACGCATTAGATACAATACAATCAAGCTTAGCAAACTGCCGCTTAAGCAGCGCACATATCTATCCTAGTAGAGAAGCAAGAGTATTCTTCCATGTGAGAAATGGTGTGACTTAAAGAGCAATCTATACGATACTTGATCGACCTGGCTAAGCATCTGATTCTCAGCATATGCGAGGCTTATACACCTCGGAGGCCTTCAAACGTCCTCTACATACCACGAATGGAAAACGAAACATGTCATGAGCCAATCCACGGATGTAGCGACATCATAATTAACATATATCATTATACATCGAATGGTTGAAGCGAGCCACCAAAAACCAGGCCAAATCCATCATCGTAGTAATGAATACGAGCTTGGGTCGCAGCTAGGCGTACGTCAACCAACCAACTCACCCTTCCGATCTCAACACTTGGGTACAGACAGACGGACGTTTGGCGAGATGTGAGAAGCATTGAAAAAAATTCCGGGTTTATATTATTGTCCGCTTCTCGGCTGAGACCTTGCGGCTAAATTGTGTGCAACGTCGTACGATGATAGTGTGCCCGCCGTCCCGGCCCTACGGAGCGCGGAGGGCGTGGTCGTTCGAACCTTGGGGGAACTATCCCTGAATAAAGTAAAAGAGATCGATTTGTGGATCTTTGAATTTCCTTCTGTTCCGATGGGACGTGGTTGAACTGAAGCTATTGTGTGGGGAGCCGACCTGGTCTGCTTTGCCAAGAGACGCTGTTTCCCACGCCGGAACTGTTCCCGTACGGCTACATCTTGAGGCGTCAGGGTTATATGCGTATTCGTAACCGAAGAGGGCCTTTCCGGGACCCGGAGGGATGGTGAGTTTGATGCTATCTGCGTTTTGAGACTACATACAGTATCTAGGGTGAATCATCACTAGACGGCGATGTTGCGAATACGAACCAGTACAACTTGTAGACTTATCCATCTAGAAACACATTAATTTTACCGGCTAGTCGAAGTGATTAGGGCAGCCATGATGTGATTTCACCCATCGTAGATCCGTCTTGGGGAACAGGGGAGATTTGCCAATTGTCGCCGGTGTCGTCCTTACCACGTGAATAATGAAGGGGTGAAGTCTCATAGCCCTATTTGGATTGCGTACTCATAGAATATACAATGGGAAGAAAATCAATACTAGTTGTAGTTAATGGGCACTTAATGGCTCACAGGTTTGATTAGACTTATCTCTTTCGCGATTGGCATCACTACTATTGCTGGGATGGTTTAGACAATAGTGAGCGCAGAAAATCCATATTAACGCCAACAGTGCGTAGTTGTAGTGTTAGTGTATCTCTTGGCTAGTAGAGATAAATGCACCCGTACATAGTTCGTTCTATTCATATACAATCAATGATCACGAAGGGTAACCTTAGAAACAACATAGTCTGTGTAACCTCATTCGTTATATCAAGCTTTAAGACTAGAAATGGGGTTTTATCCTAACGTCCCTTGAATTCTATTACATATGCCATTCTGAGAGCGGATTGGGACATGGCTACTTCATTAACATCGGTCCCAATATGAGATATTTCGACTTGAATACCAACAACTAGATACCAAATAGATACCTAGGTATATAGCGTATCTTGTTGTACGTAGAACTAACAATACCCTACCACGAGCTCGGAGGTCTCTTGAAACTGTGGCTTGTAGCGGATGGGTTCTAGAACTTCTCGGCACAGGACACGTGGATTCGGGGCAGGCCTAGATCAATAGGGGCTCATGTCCGTCGTGTCCGTAAAGCGTTCGATAGAGAGTGCCTAGTGCTCTTCAATATTACTACTCGAAATCTTCTAGAGCCTACTTGGAACATTCCCAGCTGACAATACCTATGATCCTAGTTTGAAATCGACGTGTTTCGTTGCAGACACCGGAAAACTCGCTCTCAAGGTTTGGCGGGACTAGAATCCTCATTTCAGCGATTTGTGTAAACTATTACGGCGTCGGTATGTTCAATTGAGTAGATGGTGAAGCTCCCCAGTTCGCGATAGTGAAATTAATGGGAACGGGCTGGGGTACAGCCGGAAGGGAACGTCCAACTCAGGAATCGAACTACTCCTAGTCGAGGCCTGAATTCGTCACACATGATTGTCCAAGGACCAACGAGGGGTCGGGGTCCCAACGAGCCCACAGTCGATCCGATAGCTGGCCTCGTGGCATACCTCTTCCGCCGTTCCCGACCTATTAGCCCGTAATGGCCGACACCACCGCAGCACACCGAGAATCGTCAACAATGCTCCTGGTCTCAATTTCACACTTCTCGCGATAGGCGCTTCAATGACGACGATTTGACTGAAGGAAGGCCGCCTTCAAATTAATATTATATTATTGATTCCATAGGGGTTCTTTTGATATTAAATTGTGCTGGCTATGGTTGATAAGTAACTGATGGTGTTGATTTATTCGAATAGGTTAGGTATTGTCTATTCATAATAAGATCGGGGCTGGATATTGGAACCGTCCATGGCTTTTCCCGGCCCCGTCCTGTTTCTTTCTCCCGTGGCGTGAGATTAGATACGTTCGTGGCAACTGGATAACTACGTGCTTCCCTAGAGGATTGATTTCGGCGATGTAGATAAAGGGTGAGTGATGCCGAGGATGGGCGTTCGAATTGAAATGCCGAACTCAGGCTTTGGTTCTTATTCTCTTGCTTGCTCGTAATGCTCTAGCTGAGACACCCTCTTCAATTTTTACTGTTTCTGCAACCGTAATCTGTTGTCTCTTTCGCGGGCGAGACACGGGTTTCTCAGCTGAAATATTTTGTTTGACTTCATCAACTTCAATTTTGACGTCAACTTCCTTTGTTTTGCCCGCTGCTTGCTCCGAGAATGATTTTAAATTGGCAGTAAAAAGGACTGACTGCGCCCATCCCGCTTGTTGACCCCAGATCTTTCGAAAATGATCACCGACAGAGTCGTACATGACTTTGGAAAAGGTCTTCGTCTTGACCTTGCCAAACTTGTAGTCTCTCTGTGCGATCTGCCATACGTGTGTGTCCACAGGAACTGCCTCCCCCCAGCCAAGGCCCATTAGACAGACACAATCTGCAACTTTTGGCCCAACTCCTGCGAGAAGGAGAAGCTGCTCGTGGGCGTGTCTATAGGTAGGTGGTTCGGAAGCATTCGTCATATCCCAACCCGGATTCTCAGGATTGATCAAGCTTTCAAGCCACCCTTTCGGTCTCTCCTCGGTAACTATACGGGCCGTCTCTGCGATGTACTTGGCCCTGTAACCAAATCCTAGTTCTCTGAGATGGGCCTCTACTTTTTTCCCACTCAGAGCTTGCGGAGTTGGAAAATCGTGAAACGCTTCGTCACCAATATGCCCGATTAATGGGCCGTAATGATTGCAGAGTTTGTGAGCCTATAGGGTGTTAAGAGAACTCAAATATTACTGAGACCAACGAATGAGGGTTAATCACTCATAACATACCATCTGTGAGATACGAGAAATATTGTTGTTACTACTGCAAATAAAGGCTACCAATGCTTCCCACGGGTCTTGACTTAAAATTCTGATTCCTGTGAATTTTGGCGCTTTCTTTCGGAAGTTGGGATCAGACCCAGACCATTGGTCATATAGCGAAGCCACTGGTTAGGTTAATAACTGTTAGCAACTGTTATGAGACTATTTAAGAAATATAAATCTCCAAATGCTAATAGAGATGGTAATACTTACAGTCATGCTTTAAACTAAAATAATGTCTAATAAATGCTTCAGTATCATCCTCGCTGTCAATCTTAGGGCCGTCCTCGATAGATAATGGAGGTGTCAAGGTTGGTGTATTGATTGCGGGTGAGTTCACTTTGTAGTGAAGATAATTCTTATCTTGCTTTAACGAAAGCAATCGGCCATAGAGAACACAGTTCCTAAAATAACCATTAATATTTGTTCATTATTGGGGATGGAATGAATTTATACCATTCATCGCCTATTTTACGCCAACGAAAGGACTGTCCACATCGGAGGGTTGTTTCAATACATAGGTCAGTTAAACTTAGGGGTAGCTTTCGCCATTCAGATACCCTTATAGGTGACATCCCGCGATTAATCAATTTAATAGGATTGTGGTCCCTTTAGCATACCAAAAAAAAACCAAAAAAGACAACAACAACAAAAAAGTAAAAATAGTTGATGGTTGGATCTAATCGCAGGAAGCTTCGATATTGTTCGTATTTACGATATAAGCGTAGGTCGTTACTTACAGATGTTGATATCTAAAAGGGGTATTAATGTTTGATGTTATTTCGCCCCTTCCTTTTCACCAGAAATCCCTAAAAAGTCCCTAAAGAGGAAAGCGGGGCATTCCATCTGGTAAATCTTATACAGCTAAACCAAATCGGGGCTAGCCACATGTACATGGTACGACATGAGCCACTCAGCGGCTTCCGACCTGGGCAAACTTCCGACGAGACTTGCCAAAAATTCTATTTTCCAGCCTCGTTGCAGCAAAGCTCCACTGTCAACAGCTCAACCTATCTCACACTCCAGATTAGAGATTGGAGCTTCTTGTTCTCTTTCAATCTTCTCGGCGCCCTGTTGAGTCGCCTTGCCGATTTCTGATCAACATCCTTTTCATTTTCAATTCTTTACCGTATCATATTTTTCTTAGAGGGAGTTGAATTGTCATCATGAACGGCGACACCTATTCATCTCGAGGTAAGTAATTCTCTTAATTCTTAGGATCTTATCATCATTGTTTGAATTAATCCAACTAATATACTTTATTTTAGATGGCCGTCATGGTTCCTCTCGAGATTATCCTCGCGATGATCGTCGGGACCGAGGCGATAGAGGTGATAGAAGAGAACGAAGACGAAGTAGATCACCTCGTCGATCGCATCGCGACGCGAGAGATGAAGACGCATACGCATCTAGCCGCAGCCATCGAGACCGCGAGCGCGAAGATCGCTACGGAGGAGGAGGAGGAGCTGGTGGTGGCGGTGGTGGTGGTGGTGGTGGACGCGACCGTAGAGACCGCGAATGGGATCGCGACCGCGGTTCGAGAAGGGATAACCGCCGCGACGACCCTGGCCGACCACCTCGACGCGATCGCGACTTATTCGAGGATCGACGTGGCGATAGACGGGATCGTGAGAGAATCGAGCGAAACCGAGACGACGATCTGTTTGCGCAGAATCGACGCGGACGAAGTCCCACACCGCCGCCGAAAAAACGCGAACCGACTCCAGACTTGACAGACATTATCCCCGTTCTAGACCGCAAGCGACGTATGACCCAATGGGATATCAAACCTCCAGGTTACGAGAATGTCACCGCCGAACAAGCTAAACTATCTGGAATGTTCCCCCTACCGGGCGCGCCGAGACAGCAGCCCATGGACCCTACAAAACTACAAGCTTTCATGAATCAACCAGGCGGTGCGGTGAACAGCGCAGCACTGAAGCCAGGTAATTCCCGGCAAAGCAAGCGGCTTATTGTCTACAACCTTCCTCCGGGATCAACCGAAGAAAGTGTCATGAGCTTCTTCAACCTCCAATTAAATGGATTAAATGTTATTGAGAGTACCGATCCATGTGTTCTATGTCAAATTTCCAAGGACCAGACGTTTGCTCTTCTCGAATTCCGACATGCTTCGGAAGCTACTGTTGCCCTTGCTTTCGATGGTATCTCAATGGAGGCAGATGATCCTATGAACGGCACTGCTAATGGCAGTGGGCGTGGCTTGAAGATACAACGACCGAAAGACTATATTGTGCCAGCCATTGCCGACGATGCCCCGTACAAACCTGGTGTCGTTTCGAACGTGGTTATTGACACGCCGAACAAGATAAGCATTGGAAACCTACCCCCTTACTTGACCGAGGACCAAGTCATGGAGCTTTTGACCTCGTTTGGCGAGCTTAAGGCGTTGGCTTTGGTTAAAGATACGGGTACCGATGAATCTCGCGTAAGTAATGTAATCTACGTAGCCCTTTTCTGATTACGGTATGCTAATTGTTGGCAGGGTGTTGCGTTTTGTGAATTCGTCGACCCTGCAGCGACGGACATCGCTATTCAGGGTCTGAATGGCATGGTTATCGGCGATAAAAACCTCAAGGTGAGAAAGGCCAGTATTGGTATCACCCAAGTAGCTGGTGTCGAAATGGGTGTGAATGCCATGTCCATGTTGGCGGGAACTACTGCCAGCGACTCAGAGGAATCCCGGGTCTTGCAGCTACTCAACATGGTAACACCGGAAGAACTAATGGACAGCGAAGATTACCAAGGTAATTTTCCTCTCCCATTTTATACGCTATACTTTGCTAACATGTCTCAGAAATATGCGAAGATGTCCAGGAGGAATGTTCTAAATTTGGCCAGATCATTGACCTCAAGGTTCCTCGACCTACTGGTGGCAGCCGACAATCTGCTGGAGTTGGTAAGATTTATGTTAAATACGATACAACAGCATCCGCAAAGAAAGCCTTACAGGCCCTTGCTGGCCGAAAGTTTGCCGACAGAACCGTGGTAACGACGTACTTTCCAGAGGTAAGCATTTCTATTCCTGGTATGTTGGATCACCGCTGACTTATTGCAAATAGGAGAACTTCGAGGTTGGAGCTTGGTAATGAAAAAGGGGTTCGTTCATGCTACATTTCGTCCTTACGTGTGGTAGCTTAATATTACGAAGACATAAGTTGCGGAAGGTTAGGCTGAGTGTCGTAACAATTTACAAGTTGCGATTTGTACAACAACACACGTCCAACGGGAGAGGCGTCCTAATGAGGCGAATTCTATAGCACTAACCGGCTTTTTAACTGCTGGGAGCGCTCATCGTTCATTAGAGCGACATAATAGCAGTCGTTCAGATTCCTCGCATAAAAGTGTCAACTAACAACAAGGCTACTACGATTACGCCAGCTGATTTCGACCGACTCTCGATTAAAATAGGGGTGCCTAGATAGGTGCCTAATACATAGGTAGGTAGGAGGTATGGTTAGAGTTGCTTAGTTGCTACCCAATATTGTCATTTTCGATTAGTGACAGTGACAAGTTGCTTCTAGAATTATGTGGACTGTTGATCGCAAGCCTAAGCGGACCGTGCTTCTTTGTACTAAACGAGTCATTCACTCAAAAAAAATCTTTCATATATTAAGCATCTCTTGGCTTCGACGAATATCGATAGGAGGATCTGAAACTTTGAACGATGAAGTTATGTCGTTTCCATTTAGGCCAATAATATGGCAATAAGCCAATGTTTTACCGAATATTACTGTTTGTCAATGGACCATTACTTTAGAATGACCGTATTGTTACGTAAATGTTACCTCTAGGCCTTGGCTCTTTATTATTCTGAATTGTGATACATTCATTAAAACTTCAAAATAATTGTATGCGGGACGGTGTATAAAAGCTCCGACCGACTAGTCTCCCTACATATATGCTTACTCCTGTCAACCAAACAACTCATTCGAATTCGAAACATTCAAATCTGAGACATAAAATCCACCGACGTCATCATGTCTAAACCAACGATGTCAAATTACCTACTCGAGAGCCCTGGTATGACCGATCTTCGGGAGCGAGCTACGCAATCTCAATTTCTCAGTCTCGCCGGTCAAGGTCGGCTTCCACCCGAGATACTCAGCCAATGGTTAGCCCAAGATAGGCTCTACGCCCAGGCGTACATCCGATTCGCTGGAGGTTTAATATCCCGCGTTCAGCTTCCGATCAAGATAGGCGACCAGGATAATTCTAAGACATTGCAATGGAGAATTCTCTCGTTGCTGCAGACCGCTCTTGCGGGTGTAACGAGGGAGCTGCAGTTTTTCGAAGAGACTGCCAAGAAATATGGCTTGGATCTTGAGGGGTTAGGGCCGGTGGCTGAAGGCGGTAACCTATCAAATAAATCGGCGGGTTTTGCGCCAAATAAGGTGACGCAGAATTACATCGATCTGTTCGACTCGTTCACTGCGCAGCCGCATGGAGATCGGGATAAGACGCTTCTGGGCGGGCTGGTTGTGCTTTGGGCTACGGAGAGAATTTACCTAGACGCTTGGACTTATGCGAAGCAGCAGGCTGAGGAAAATGCGAACACGGATGGGGATCTTGATGGTGGGGCTTTAAGAAAGGAGTTCATACCAAATTGGACTTCGGAAGAGTTCCAGGCTTTTGTGAAGGAGTGTCAAGACTGTCTAGATGCGTACGCTACTATCCAAGACGAAGATACAGAAGAAGTTGGCGCTGCGGAGGCCATGTGTCTATTCAAGAAGGTCTTGGTACTAGAGGAATCATTTTGGCCGATGGTGGCTTGAAGAGGGGTTTGATATCTAGAACGAAGGCATGGCCTTGGTACTAAGGGATGCAAACACTCGAATAACCCCACAACTATTCATATATGTTTGTTGATAAATAGCCTTTAAACTCATTGTCTATTGAAAGACTAGACGAATCTATAGTTGATTGAGACTTGACTTGTTAGGATTTAGATTTGAATGTGAATTTGTTAGTGAAAGTTTGACCTCTAGTAGCTTGGTCCGTGCCACAAATGTATCATGTATCGCCCAATTCGAAGTCGAGGTCGTACTTACCGTCCCCATATTTAAGGGTTGTCGGGGAAACAATCGCCGCTATAATCAAAACAGTCAACAAGGGACTAGGGGTAAACCATATTACCTAGGTATTTAATCCGTTCGGGTCGCGCCACGCCTCATCAATTCCTTCGAAATTAACAACGAGGTATACTAACATTGTAGGTCTTTTCGGGGGAGATTCAATTCGACACTATCGCCCTTGTCGCCATTCTTATATCTCAAATTGAAGATGGCTGCTGGCGATCTAATTGATTTCGACATTATCGAAGGCCAGAAGGAAAATATTCAATCCTTACCTGGTGGGCGATCAGCAAAGAAACTCGCTGAGGTCTTCTCACCGTCTCCTCTACACAAACTCAACACACCTACACCTACCGACACCAAAAACATCAACGATTGTATTCGAGCCGAGTACGAGGAAGAGCTAGCAAACATCTCCGAGTCGGATGATCCTCTCGACGTCTTCGACAGATACGTAAGGTGGACTTTTGACGCATATCCATCCGCACAAGCTACTCCTCAATCGCAACTACACACTCTACTTGAGCGCGCCACCAAAGCTTTCATCGGATCGGCGCAATACAAGAACGACCCCCGATACCTAAAGCTGTGGTTACATTACATCCGATTCTTTTCCGATTCACCTCGTGAGACTTACGTTTTCCTTTCACGTCACAATATCGGTGAGGGGCTAGCTCTATTCTACGAAGAATACGCCGCTTGGCTGGAAAGTGCGGGCCGCTGGGCACAAGCCGAAGAAGTATATAAACTAGGCATCGAGCGTGAAGCGCGACCGGTGCAGAGATTAGTTCGCAAGTTCGGCGAATTCGAACAGAGGCGCGCGCAACAACCCGACGGAGCGAACGCACCATCATCGCCGGCACTTCCTACAGTCCGACCAGCGCTCGTCGCTAAGATTGATCCTTTCGGGGCTTCTGCGCGACCGGTAGATCCACAAGCTCCAAGGCCAAACATGGGTGTTGGTGGTCAATCTTCTAAGCCCGGCAAGGCTAAACTTGCTGTCTTCTCGGATGCTGGATCTGAGGGCAGCGCAATGTCGAAGGTGGGTGAGGGTGCAAAGGGATGGGACACAATAGGGTCATTGGCAGATCGCAAAAAGGAAAATGTAGTGGGAGCAACGCCTTGGGTGGGAGAAACGTTGACGACGCAAGTGAAGAAGAGCAGTGGTCCAAAAATGTCTGTGTTTCGGGATCCTGTAAGTTAACGAACTCCTTTCCCATGTGGCAATGGCCAATTTGTTGATCATAGCAGGACTAATGTGTGGCCATTGTGCGATTGTGTAAATTCAGTCTTTATCCAGAATAGCAGAGTCTCATATTGTTATTGCCCCATCTAAGCACCAAGTAATTGTGAATTCCCAAAGCGGAAAAAGAGAACGTGTCTTTGTTAACCTCGAGGCTATTTACCCAACCCCTGAAGAGCCTGGCACTGAGCTAAGCTTTGAGGAATTATGGGCTGCCAATCAGGGTTGGCTGGATGTGAGTTGGGAGGACGACAGCATTGTTGACGACGGGCAACAAGAACTACACGTCGGCCAACCGACGGAAGTAGATTTGCTTAGTCGACAAATGGCAGAAAAACTAGTGGTGCACCAGGACATAGTAGAACTTGACGAGAATGGTGCGATTAAAAACCAACCCAAACCTACCAAGACCAAAAAGAAGAAAATGATGGAGGTCAACGAAACACAAATCAGTAAGTTCACCAAAAAACAATCCCCTTTACTACTTTGTCCTCCCTAAATTGCAATCCTCGAACAAGATAATTGATCCATTATTTTCATTTTTACAGTTAAAGCCAAGCTGGACTCGCCATCTGGTCCCAAGTTGAAGAAGAGAAGTAATGCTCACTCAGAGCCTACTATGACGATGCATACCAGACAAGCTACCGACGAGATCTACGATCTCTTTAATGCCCCCATCAAGACCGTAGAGGAACGCAACGAAGACACTGACGATGAAGATTACATGACCGACGGTGATTACACCAGCGGCGGAGAAAGCGTCAACACTACCAGACGTATTTCGACGAGTGAAGCCGGCGACGATGAGACTTCGGATGTGAAGAGTGTGAGCGAATGGTCTGAGTTCACTGCACAGAAGCACATTCCAAAAATAGATGGTGAAGGTGAAAGTGACGATGAAGATGAGGACCAAGGCGAACAAAGCGAATCTGAGTCGTCAGACCTAATCGACACAAAGGACGACGATGACGACGAATATGACCCCGACTCACCTCCTAAGACCAGAACCAGATTCATCCCCATCCCCCCCGAGGATTATGAAGCTCCTACACGACCGTATAGGGACCCGGCCGAAGTGGCTAACAACCGTCTTCCGTTCATGACCCCTATTACGGAACGTACAGAATCTTCACTCGGCCTCATCACTGAAGGGAAGCCCCGTTACACCAACACGAAGACTCCTACCAGAAGAGATCATGATGCTTACCTAGCTGAGGAGGATGAAGAAGACGATGAGGACTTTGGGCCGCTGAGTAGCCCTCTGCGCGAAGTCCTCAACGAAGCTCGTTCTCCCGTAAGTATCGGAGAGCCTCTAATCAAGAAGCTGAAGACTGCTGCTGCTGCCACACCCCCGAGTCAACGAAAGGGAAAGGAGTTGCCTAAGGGACCAATCATCAAGGAGTCGCAATGCAATCCTGTTGACACGGCTATTAGAGAGGAGATCCTCGCACGTATGCAGCCCTCTCTCAGCTCGTATTCTGGATTCTATGATCACCGTACCGAACGATGCGACAAGGGATCCGAGATCCGCAAGTTCGCCAAGGCTGTATCGAAGTCAGGAAGCAAGAGAGAGAACGATAAGACTAGTACTCTTCACACTCCGCCTGTTCTCGAGTTCCCTGAGATCATGGGTGAATATACTCTTAAGCGAGAGCTCGGTGCCGGCGCCTTTGCTCCCGTCTACCTTGTCGAGAATTCGGCTCCTGAAGGCGATGAGAATGATGAGAACACCCCCAAGGTCGCCATGGGTAAAGGCGCTTTCGCGACAACCCACCGTTCCGCCCTTGAGGCACTGAAGATGGAGCAACCGCCTACGACTTGGGAGTTCCACATGATGCGACTCGCGGCGACTCGTCTAGGTCCGCAGCACCGCGCTACGACGTCTATCTCAGCTGCCCATGAACTACACCTGTACCAGGACGAATGTTTCCTGATTCTACCGTTCCACCCGCACGGCACACTCCTCGATGTTGTCAACTTCTTCACCGAGACCTCCAAGGCGCCTATGGACGAGTCGCTTGCCATGTTCTTTAGTATCGAACTCTTGCGCACCGTCGAAGCCTTGCACACTAAGAACATCCTCCACGGCGATCTTAAACCCGACAATTGCCTCCTACGTATCGATGAACACGTATCCACTCTATCCGGCCAATGGCACGCCGACGGCTCCGGCGGCTGGGACGGTCGAGGCGTAACATTAATCGACTTCGGCCGCGGAATCGACATGCACGCATTCGACCCGGACGTGCAATTCGTCGCAGACTGGAAGACAGACGCACATGACTGCGCCGAAGTCCGCGACGGTCGTCCCTGGACGTTCCAACTCGACTACCACGGGCTCGCTGGTACTATCCACACTCTTCTCTTCGGAAAGTACATCGAGACTATCCGCGCCGATCAAGGCGGTTTAGGAACGTCGGCGAGCCGTCGGTACAAGATTCGCGAGCCGTTGAAGCGTTACTGGCAGACCGAGATCTGGATTGAGTGTTTCGATGTCCTACTTAACCCCGCTAGTCACGTAGACGCCGAGGATGGTAGGAAGATGCCTGTGCTTCGGGGTATGCGACGTGTTCGCGAGCGGATGGAGAAGTGGCTTGAGAGTAATTGCGAGAAAGGCGTTGGATTGAGAGGCTTGATGGCGCGGATTGAGGGTATGGCGAAGGCGAGGAAGCATTGATTCCGACTTCGGACTTTGCCTGTATGCTTTTTCTTTTTCAGTTCGCCGTTCTGTTTCGAGCTATACCGCTTTTAATAGTTTTTGCTTTTTTATATCGACATGGCTTGTTGTTGTACAAAGACACGGGAGGAGAGGAGAGGGGAAGGAAGAATGACATCACGACGATCACAGATTGATATGACCGATGATGAAGGGGACATAGGCATTTCTCGGATGCATCGCATTGCATTGCCAGGCGTTACGAGTTCGAGTTTGATATTGAAAATTCAGGCTCGAGGGGGGTTGTTTGAATACTACGTGATTTCTAGTCTAGGATTCACAAAATACTGAATATTCATTTGCACACCACATTGGTATTCAGTAGAAGGGAGTGGTAGTAGTGGCCTGATTTTTCTCTTTTCATTGTTTTTAATCCCCTTTTCGCACGAGGGTTCGGGTGGAATTAGCTACGTTGTTTTTACATACCCATACCCAATACGCCTTGCCTTAGTTTTTCCAGATCAATAATAGAACACTTATGAAATACATAACCTGAAATCTTTAGTTACACTGGATTAGGACGTGAATTGTTTTGTTGATTTAATCTGAATCTTCATCATCAGATGCTTTAGCTTTCTTCTTGCCTCGTCTCTTGGCAGCAAGGCCGCCTTTCTTTGCATCCTTCGCGCTTTTACGATCAACTTGATCTTGAATCTTCGCGCGCTCGGAAGCGCCTTCAGCTTGTAGACGCTTGTCAAGGGCTTTGAACTCATCGCTATCTGTGTCCATACCGATGAGACTCTCAAGTAATTTGATTTCGTCAGCCCAGATTTGCTTGTCCTCGACGGTCTTCCCATCGGGGCCTTTACGGTCGATGGGCGTTTCAAGAACCATCGGCATTCCTTGAAATTCGGCGTGGTTCATTACATTGTGAAAGGCGCGAAGACCTAAGAAACCTGTGCCGATATTGGCGTGCAAGTCCCGGTGCGAGTCAAAAGGCGCTTTGCTATCATTAAGGTGGAAGGCCTTAAGGTACGAGGCTCCTACAATGTTATTAAATTTGGTCATTGTCTCTTCGAAAGCTTCTGGCGAGCGCAAGTCGTAACCTGCGGCGAAAGCATGGCACTATCGTAATCGGGTTAGCATCGTCTGTCTATATTAAAAGACCCAAGGGATAAATCCGGGGCGATTTAAAATAACTTGATTGGTAGGCTAGTCAAGTTACTTACCGTATCTATGCAAACTCCAACCCGGCTCTTGTCTTCCACAAGCTCTATGATGTCACGAAGGTCTTCAAACGAACAGCCAATGACATTGCCTTGTCCGGCCATGTTTTCCAATACCGTGATTACAGTGGACGTTGCCTTATGGGCCTTATTGAGTTGCTTGGCGATCCGCCCGATAGCATCTGCCCTGGCATCTCCATTTGTATTTCCCGGGTGGAAATTATACAACTTGACACCAAGCGATTCGCATCGTTGTAAGTCGTCTAGGAAGGATGTATATGCCTGGTCCGCCTTTTCCTTTTCGGCTTGAGCCAGGTTCACTAAATAGGAACCATGTGGAAGGCAGTGCTTATGAACCTCAAATTTGTGTTCCTTTGACAGGGAATGGAATCCGTCAAGAGCCTCAGGCGTTATAGGAGGGTTGACCCATTTGCGTTGCGACTTCAAGAATAGAGCAAATGAATTCGCCCCAATATGTACGGCGTTGTTGATTGAATTTTGTACACCTAGAAAATTATAGTTGAGTCAGCCTCGAAGAAGTTTGAAATTGAATAGCTAGGGACCCTGGGCTATTACTAACCTCCTGCGGCGCTGACGTGGGCACCAATATACATGGACTTCTTAAGAGTATTGATTATTGTACGCTTAGCAAGCGCCATGAGGTCTTCGGCTTTTGCCTTGGTAGTGGTTTTTCGCTTCTTCCCGGATTTTGGTTCCTCGGTACCAGGTTCGCCCACGTGCTCGGGATTCTCGGTTGCCTTCCGCTTTTTGGCAGATTTAACTTCCTCGGCAGCGACAGGCTCGTCGATGTCGTCGTCGATCGGTTCTTCGACAGCTTGACGCTTTGACGATTTGGATTTCGGGGTGCCTTTCGCAGGAGCGGCGATCCCGGCGGCGGTAGTAGCTTTGTCAACGATAGCCTTCTTAACTCGAGATGACTGATGAGGAGGCATTGTGAATACTTGTTTCTCCCACGTGCTGAAATCAATCGATACAATTGGGCATACAATGAGAAAACTCCAAGTTTTATGGAATCATGACAGTTGATTCGGAAATGAAACCGTAGACACTAGGAAGTAAGGAGGTCTATAATTGGTGTTGAGTAAAATAGGTATGTGATCTTGGTAAGTGAATGAATTAATTGAATTTCATGACGCGCCGGGACGCGAGAAGGAATGGCTCGTAGTCACGTGTTTCAATTAAACTCTTATTATAAATTCTTATCGATTAGGATGGTTACCTAAAGTTAGGTTCAATGCCATGTGCGTTCAGTTGATGATTTCCGACGATCCGTGCCAACTTTGCAAAAAATGCCTTGGTTTGGAAACTGCAAGACATTGAGGCTGATAGTGAACGAATCATGATATTCGATTATCAATTGTATATAATTGACAGATTATAATTGATATGTAAGTAAGATTCTCCCATGATCATCATCAGCTCTTGTCATTTGATTCTTCTAGAACGTTGAGAATTGAGAGATATCGTATGAGAGAGCGGCGACCGAGCACGCCGAGGGCCCTCTGTTGACCCTCTTGTGGGCAGTGCTTATCTTATCTCACGATACTCTTATGTGTGTGACCTGCCCCAGCGTTTAGCTTTTCAAGGGTCGGTTACTCACAGATCGTATTTGAAAAGGAAGGAGTGGATGGGGTACGTACCGTCTAATAAAGTTCAATTAGGTACCTAGGTACATAGTAAGATAAACAAACACATTAAACAAGTCAATCAAACAAAAAAAGGGCCTGGCCTTATTATTTCTTGACCCTCCCCGCGCCATGCCCCTATTCCCATTTATTATCGAAACACGATTCAATACATAATATGGTTGATTCACACAACGTAACATATTTAAATATATCTGCGCACACACGCGACCAGCGACAAAAATTGCAAGAGATCACACGATCACTTGCGAATTCGGGTAAAGTCATTCTTGGTCGAGACTCACAAGCGTCTTGCCTAGAAAAATGGCTGCATCGCCTAGCAGTGCTAGGCAATTAAAAATGCGTTGCGTGCAGCGCCGAGGAAAAGCTTAGCAAGTGGTGTAATGATGCGTAAAGCGGTGCTTGACGAGGGGAGGAAACGCATTATTGGCCAACCAACGACCCGAACCAACCTCTTCTTAGCACCTTTCATCCGACCTAGCCCGCTACTACTACGCTGCTACCGCTGCTACTACTGCTAAGCAGAGCGGGGGTACCCTCTCCAAGCAGTATTCTTTCTCGTAGAAATCTTCCCTCGGCAGGCCGCTCGCCTTCGGTGACTAGCATCCCAGTTAAATCCCAGTCCCATTGAACCTCCAAACCAACGTCGGCCCGCATAAGGTCCCTGTTCTCGCCTCGCGTACCTTCACACCTTATCTTACTAGATGTGGTACTTATGACAGTGGACAGGAGTTAGCCTCCTTTTAGCGTCTTGCAGGGGCATCTGCCGAATCATCTGGCCCAGGGGGAAAACGTGTTTCAATTCTCTTCCCTGATTGGTTCACATTTCGCCATCTCAGATCCAAAGATTTGCTCTGCGGAGTCCCAGCATTCGAACGTCTACGCAGTATCAAAGATTAGTTTCCCGCGCCCCAGGTACCTCTGAGCGGACACACCTAGTCTTTTTTTACGTCAACGACAGAAAAAATACCCATACCGATCCGAGCTGCCGTTTTTAGATTTTATCCTTGAACGCTGTTACTCATGGAAATTACATTACACTTGTGTCTCTTTGTTTTTTCTCTGACCGAGACTTGATTGCTATTGATGAAACGTGTCGAGGGATGGGGCCACGAAAAACTGACAAGCCGATAAGTACAACAACAATTGGTTCGTTGGTTATAGTGAACTCCTATCGGTATCTACGGGCATATTATGTCTCAAGACATGGAGGTCAATGATGTTGCCCGAATAGAGAGTAACAACCTGATATCTAGGTCGCTGACGCGGGCGAAGCATGCTCATTGCCCAGAGGCTGGCTGAGACCCGCAGTAACGGAGGAGGGTACGTATGATACGCAAGGGACGTCGGTCCCCTAAACAAGCCAAGGACGGCTTTTGTGGGGGACTGCAGCTTGCCAGTCAGGAGCCAAGAATCCCCATCGTGCCCAGTACCACCTAGTTCACTGACCTAGTAACTAGTTTCGTACCGGATCGTAGCATCTCTGATCGATGGAAACATATACCCTTCGACAAGTAGCTCGCCACGGCCGCTCCGTAGGAATTTTCCACACAAACCCATCCTTCACTTTTATATAACTCTGTGGGTTTGACCATTCTCGTCTCACAAAGTGCTTCTTGATTTCCTTTTTCTTCCATATCATTAACCGCACTAAAGCATTCGTGCTTCGGTTGCTGTCTTGTCACACATAAAAGAGAGCGCTGCACGGCATCTCATTAGTCGCGTGCTCGTCCTACATAACGAGACAGCCTTATCCGCTCGTTCCTAGGGCCAAGACAACGGCGCCCGCCTCATACCTATTGCCAATTTTTACTTTTATAACGACAGGAACCTATCACAATAGACTTTGATCGCGGCCTATTAAATATCAGTTTGAATTAATCAATCTTTCTAATACCCGATCATCCTTCTCAGTCTCACCTTACCTCGCCTCCCCTCTTATCTATCCGTCAATCTCTTAATTCACAAACGTCCCAATGGCGAAATTTCTTCGCCGACATCACGAACACGATCCCCCGATTGGGGAGATTCCCGTTCCCCATGGCCCCGAAACTGGCGATGAACACCAGCACTACCCTCGAAGGCATTCCGCTAGCTATGCCACCGAGCACGAGAGACAGATTTTCGCGCACTTGACACATCCCGACGATTCATACACAGAAGAGGGTGTCTACTGGGCTGATCTACCCTTCTGGAAGCGCTTCTCTTTCGTCAACAAGGTCAACAGCGATGAAAGCAGAGCCGAAGCCCAGGGCATCTGGGCTATGTTCAAGAATGATCCTCTAAGCCCTGTCTCTTGGTATTTCCGAAATGCCGTCCTCCCTGGTGCTGGTTTGGGTCTCGAGGGTTACGTTCTTTTCTCAATTGGAAACTTGGAACCCTTGTTCGATAAAGTATGGACGACATGCTGGCCGAAGACCGGCACAGAGTGTAGCACCAATTGGGTTGCTGCTGTGACTTATCTCGAAATCGTCGGTATCATGGTTGGCCAAGTCGCCGTCGGAGTAAGTTTTATCTACTTCCCACAACGCACCTGAGAGGCTTCAATCGCGCGAACTAGTACTAATATCTCATTTTTGTAGATTATTGGTGATTGGATCGGTCGACGATGGGGTTTAATACAAGACGCTTTGGTCATGTTGCTTGGTCTTCTCATGTTGACTGGTTCTTGGGGCACAACGCTTCAGGGCTGGGTCATCATGTATGCTTGGTCTTTGTTCGTTTATGGTATGTCATCTCGGATTATTAACTGCGGAAGTTTAGGTTTCGTGATAGCTAACTTTTGCGATGCTTAGGTATCGGTGTCGGTGGTGAATACCCCATCACAGCTACTTCATCCATGGAAAACGCCGTTTCTTCTGGCAGACTGTCGACAAGAGATGACCGTCTCCACCGTGGCCGAAAGGTTACTATGGCATTTTTGATGCAGGGTTGGGGTCAATTCGTCAACCAAGTCGTGCTCATCGTTCTTCTGGTCATTTTCAACCGCGGCTCCGGCGACCCCCCTTACTCTATGACTGCTACCCAGTACGCCTTCCGATTGTCGTTCGCCTTCCCCGCCATCGGCACTCTATGGCTAGCCTACTACCGTACCTATAAGATGAAGTCTGCTAGCAAGCACCTCGAGGCTGCCAAGAAGAAGGCTAAGGTAACTGGATACGATGTTCAGTCCCTAAAGATGACCTTCGGCAACTTCGGTGGACGTCTCTTCGCTACCGCTGGTGGATGGTTCTGCAATGACGTGTTCTTTTACGGCAACAAGCTCTTCCAAGGTAAGAACTCTCGCAGGATCCGGTGTCAACGCACACGCTAACTCATAACCTTAGGTCAATTCATTAATGTCATCTCGAATAATCCTAAGTCGATTATGACGACCTGGACGTGGAACTTGGTCAACGTTGTTGTTTCGCTCGCTGGATACTATGCGGCTTCCATGATGATCGACAACAAAATGTACGGAAGAAAAACCATGCAGCAGATCGGCTTCTTGATGTGCTTCATCATGTTCGCTGTACCGGCCTTCAAGTACGACTACTACACCAGCCCTGCGGGAATTCACGCTTTCCAGGCCATGTACTTCCTATCATCTTTCTTCAACCAATTCGGTCCCAACTCGGTCACTTTCCTCGTTGCTGGAGAGGTTTACCCGACTCAAGTCCGAGCTAGCGCCCACGGTTTCTCAGCCATGATTGGAAAGGCTGGTGCTCTTCTGGCTTCGGTTCTGTACAACTACATCGGCGACCAGACCAAGTTCTACGTCGTTCCGTGGTTTGGTCTTGCTGGTATGGTTATCACCTCGATCTGGCTGCCCGACACCACCGGTCTTGACCTTAAGGAGCAAGAGCGCCGATGGCAATACATCCTTGACGGTCGTCCTGACGAATACCACGGCATTGCCATTCACCCCCAGCATCTTTCTCTTTGGGAGAAATGGACTGGTGTCGGCAAGAACTACCACCCCGACCTCGACTTAAAGGCTAAGATTCGGGATATGCGCGCCGACTGGGAGGAGCGTGAAGCTGCCCGAGCCGCTAGCGACGAGGAATCCGCTACTCCCTTCGATGACGATGATGACTACACCCACGAGATCTACAACTACTTCAAGGGTAACACTAGTAACAGCGTCAACTCCTTGAAGGGTGAGAAGCCCCGAGGAAATGGTGCTGCATCGCCTTCTCGATCGAATGATGCGCCGAGTGATAGAACACTCGATGACCCATCCCACGAACCTAAACCCAAAGAGTCTGCCTCTTCAGACTAAACTGGGGGAAAGGGGATCATGTATTTAGTTAGAGCGTGTGGGTTTCTCTTCTTTTCAGGCTAATCCGGAACTGGGATGAATATACCCTCATCGACTGAGGGGTAGAACTGGGATGAAGTATGAGTTTTTAGAATTGTTACAGTCGATCGATAGCATGGCGTTACAGGCGGGAGGGATTGTTGTAAGAGATACACAATTGAGTTAAGTACATTAGGGTTTGTTGAATGTATAAGACTTTCGTCTTTTAAACTTCTTCTTAAGTGTCTTCATTGTGAATTGTTTAAGTTAACTGTCGTATGATAATGGAATGGACTAAGAATAGTTAGAATCAAGTGACTACGCGTAAATGGGTTGCTATAATGATCGCGTTTGAAAAGTGGAGACAGTTTAGTATTGGACCCGACCGAGGGGCAAAAAGAATCATTTTCCTCTTTCATGCATAACTCTTACTTACATTTATTAGGTAATTATCTACCTTACTCGCTGACGACTTAGATATTTTAATACCAAATTCGCAATGACACTCTTTAATTTAAATCTATGATATGCCCAATTGCGCGAGAAACCAATCAAAGTCCTCCACACGATGCCTGCTCCGACAACATCGAAACCGATAACGCCCCGGAGGCAGTCGAAACTCAACTTTGGCGCAGCTGGTGCCAAGGGGAAGACACCGATCGCGAAGAAGAAGCAGCCGGCCAATGGGAATATACTTAACTTCTTCCAGAAAGTGGAAGTAGAAGAGCAATTATTCTGCGCTGATCCCACGAATGCTTCTATTGCTACTACTACTACCACCACGCGCCCCGTCGTTGTACCGATACCGACGTCACCGAAGACTGAAGAGGACGATTTATTTGGAGATGGGGAGTTTGCCGAGGATGGCATAGAAGAAACAAGGTCGCCGAAACGGAGGAAGTTGAGCCATAACGGAATTGAGAATATATCAAGTGGTCTTGAAATCGATCGTAGCGAAAAGTCCGAACCGACAAAATCTACACCTCCCGAACAGACGCAGGCACGGACAAAACGGACTCGAGCGAAGGGGCCGTTTTTAGTCGACTCCGATAGCGAAGACGACGATGTCGAACTACCAACATCGAGAAATACAGAAGATACTGAAATAACTGCCACAGCTTTAAAAGCCCAAGATGTAGTGGAGAAGCCAAGATCAGTATTCGTACCGAAACTACCAGTCGACGAGAGTTGTCCCGAGATCCCCGATATTCCACCACTTAAACAAGATGAATCTGTATACGAAGAATTTAAAGACCTCGATGATATGGATGGTTTATTCGATGACGCGGACGAATTCGACGACGGCGAAGAGTACCGGGAAAGACGATTTATGGAAGAGCAGGCAAGGCTCGAGGCGGAAGAGGCAGGGAACTACACTTCAGACGGCATGATAGATGAATTCCAAGCCGTTGAAGGCGTCGTGGAGACATGTCCATTGTGTCAAGCCAGCTTGGTTGGAATATCGTCCGATCAAGCTACGATCCATGTAAATGCTTGTCTAGATGGCAACCCGATACCCCTTCCAAAACCGGAAGATCCGCTGCCCTCAGACACCGTTGATGCGCCGGAGGTCAGCAAACGATTTGCTAAAGCCGCTATTCCTCGACCTGGTCAGGCGAATCCTATTAATCTTGGAACTACTGCGAATCAATCTACCTCAGCTTTTAGCAAATTGATGTCGGGACATGCTGAAGATGCGGCGTGGGCTTCTGCTGCAGCTGCTGAGCATGCATCGCGTGGAAAACCTGCGTACCAACGGACATGTCCCTTCTACAAGATCATGCCGGGGTTCTCTATATGTGTTGATGCTTTCCGGTATGGCGCCGTAAAAGGCTGCAACGCATACTTCCTCAGCCATTTTCATAGTGACCACTACATTGGCTTGACGGCCAATTGGTCTCACGGGCCGATCTACTGCAGTAAGGTGACGGGAAGTCTTGTCAAAAATCAACTCCGAACTGCTGCGAAATGGGTCAAGGAGCTCGAGTTCGAAGAAACGGTCGAGATTCCTGGGACGGAAGGAGTGACAGTAACTATGTTACCAGCCAACCATTGTCCAGGTAGTTCGTTGTTTCTCTTCGAGAAGCCCATTGGCAAGGGACCCAACAAGAAAAAGCAGCGCATATTACACTGCGGTGACTTTCGAGCTTGTCGGGTGCATGTCAACCATTCGCTACTGAAACCTGATATACTCGATGCTGTCTCGGGTAAGACGAAACAGCAGAAAATCGACGTCTGCTATTTAGATACAACATACCTCAACCCACGATATTCCTTTCCTCCACAAGACGATGTTATCTCATCATGCGCTGAATTCTGCAAGTCTATATCAGAAGACGCCGGCGCCGCGAATGATGCATTAAACGGAGTACAAGAAAAAGGCTCAGTAAGCAAGTTCTTCAAGAAAGAAAACCAAAACTCCTCATCCGACTCCAAACCCGAAACCAAGCCTCCCAAAGACCGCCTCCTCGTGATCTGCGGCACGTATTCAATCGGCAAAGAACGCATCTGCAAAGCCATCGCGCAAGCCCTCGGAACCAAAATCTTTGCCTCGGCTGCGAAAATCAAAATCTGCTCCCAACTCGGTGACCCAGAGCTCACGGCGCTTATGACGTCGAACCCGCTCGAAGCGCAAGTGCATATGCAGATGCTAATGGAACTCCGCGCGGAAACTCTCCAAGAGTACTTGGATGGGTATAAACCGCATTTCACCCGCATCGTGGGCTTTCGTCCTAGCGGTTGGAATTATAGGGGGGCGGGTGGCGCGAAGAATATGCCGGCGAATATGTCACCCGGAAGTGTTGCCACAGCGAGTATTCTCCATGGACCGGCTTGGCGTACCAGGTTTAAGAAAGCGGATTTAGTGCCCCAGAGGGGGAGTACGAAGGAGGCTATGTGTTTCGGTGTGCCGTATTCGGAACATAGCAGTTTTCGCGAATTGGCGTTGTTCCTGACGACACTGAGGGTCGAGAAGGTGGTTCCTACAGTGAATGTGGGGAGTGAAGCTGGGAGGAGACGGATGAAGGGCTGGATTGATAGGTGGCTTGCTGATCGGAGGAGAGGGGGTGTGGTTAGGGTGCTCGAGGGCGATGGTGACGGTGAAGATGAAGAGAAGGAAGAAGATAAAGAAGGGCTTTGGGATGGGAAAGATGGAAAGGGGGGAGGTGTCTGGTGGTAGTCGCAGACACCGTACCGCCGACATGGACTATGCGAAGTTGTCTTGGGCACCTTAGTAGATCGGTGTCCAAGAATATTAAAGAAAACTGCTTAATACGTATAGATTCGTTGAGTTAGGAAGTGTAAACTACCTAGGTAATGGAATTAACATGACTATACTTGGCCGCGATCACGAAATTGGTACGAAACACGAAACGTTTTGTAGGGTCATAATCGGGATTATGGGTGCCGTCTATTATGCCAAACCCGCCTCATACTCCACGAAAGCTTCTTCCGTTCTTGTAGTAGTAAGCGCGTTACTCATCTTCTATTCCCCTATACTGCGCCGTGTATGTGTCGATGAGCTTCGGGTTTGATCACTATCAGCAGCGAGGTCGTCGTGATGAGCCATACCCATGAATCATAACCAAAGCCATAATGCTGCTTGCTGATCTAACTTTTCTTTGTCTCGTAGTCTCTATGACACCTGTTCACTTCCCCTTTCCTGCTTGTTGTGCGGCTTCTATTGCAAGTGTTAGTTTTCTGATATTATCGACGGAAGAGCGTAGGGGATATAGAGATGAGGAAGGTGGACACAAACCTCTTCTTGTCGCGTCTTCAAGTAGCGGCACATCTACCGCGTTGGCGGGAAGATGCACATATCTCACAACCGAACCTCGAATGAAGACATTCTTGACCGAGCTCTAGAATATTTTGCGTTAGTACTGCCAAAACTAGATCGCTGCATTTTTCTGTTAAGATTATAGCTAACGATGATGGGGGAACGGAAGGTAGAAGGATGTCAAGGTGGTCTCCAGATAGCCGTCAAAAATAGTCCTCCGTTTGAATGATAATTATAAATACCAAGAACGAGATCCTGGCCGCGAAATAGATTCATACTTCGAATCTTCAACTCACCAGATGCGGATACTTAATCTCCTCCACGACCTGAATTTCGTCAAGTTTGATGTTGAGGTACTGATCGACACTCTTCAGGGTGCCCCGGATCTGAATATCATTCTTAAGCTCGACTGTCACCTCGTGGTCGATGAGTGTCTTGAAAAAACTGATCGGTTTCCAATCATGTCAGCAATTTGCCTTTCATTCCCTATATCCCTCTCGTCTTTCTTTTATTCCTTCATATCCTATCTCTTCGCCTAGGGATGATATTGGATTATGGGTCCCATGCTGTGAATAGTTCACGTGACAATACTTGGGGAGTACTGTAGCGCTCATTTCGGGCAGCGTCGCGAACAGAAGTGAGCGTATGTACCAACACCATGTCCTCATACCACCCCACGCTTGGGATGCACCAAACAGCCCCAATCGTTCGACGCCGTCCTAATATCATAGCCACCTCGATGCGAAGAGAGAGGTTTCCATAAAAACAGTGTGCCCAAGAGGGAGGATTTCAGAAGCCTAGATAATTGAAATGACATACCTGAAAAATAGCATTCTGTGAATTGATAATTGATTATGTCTTCCGGCACGAATATGATCTTGGTATTCCAGGTTTGTATTATGGTTGGATTTAAATGCGAAGCCCGATTGATTCGACGAGATGTCTTTGTTAAGGATTAGAGGACGTACCTTACCTCCATACGAAATAAAAATGGAGCTTAGATCTTTAGTTGCACATTCACGTGACGATAGCGCCGTAAAAATGGTCACCACACCCACCGTTACTAGACAGTGGACAGCAGTGGAACACTAATCTCATCTACGAATTGAACACATTTTTACTTTAAAACCTTAAATAAAATAATGTATAAGTATAACTGAGCTTTTAAATTTGTAAAACTTTGTTCATTACGCATAAAATGTATTTAAACACATGTGACGGTGTAGAAGTGCAAAGCTTGTACTTCGTATTGTGCCTATGTTTTCTCATTCCCTGTTCATCCGGCGACGGATACCATTGGAAATCTATGTCCATCTCGATATCCCCAGCGTGGGGGTCCAGGTTTCCACCGAGATCCTTTTCTTCCAATCTTAGCAGGGCTTTTTTCATCATTTCTGCTTCCTTTTTTTCCCCTCTGCATTTGTCTCCTAAACGCAACGCCTCCCCTTTCGCCTAAGCACACCTTTGGTAGCCTGACCACTTGTGTGCGCCCCCCTTCACAAAAATACAGCCCGCCCAAAAGTAGTGGACACGAAAGAGAAAAAAAAAAGCATAAAACAAAGGACGATGAAGAAAAAAAAGCAACCGCAACAAGAGCTGTCGAATAAGGGGGTATCCATCCGTTCATCTCATTTCGTTCCATGCAATCTTTCCTCCTGTTGGGCTTCCCTGTGCCATATCCCTTCCAACCGAATGTACCAAATATGCAATCGCATTAAAAGGATAAAAGAAAAAATAAAGGGATGAGAAGATTTATCGCGCGGGCGATGAAGAAACGGTTTAGGAAATCGAGAGCGAATGTCCTGACGCCTCACTGATATTTCCACCGGTGGAGTTCCGGGACCCTCGAGTCAAAAATCAAGATCGCACTGACCACCCACTAAAAAAAAAGCAGCGCAGTCAACGCATTCATCCTTCCTAAAATGACTCCCTACTATGCTCCCATCGCCCAAGACCGAATACGGAAAGGTATAGGCTGTATGAATGGAGTTTGATCATAACATCGTAACGGTTGACAAAGCAAATGGTTATTTGTGTGCATCGGAACTTTTAGCTGTCTTCCTCAGCGTCGTCGTCTTCATCCTCGTCTGTCACGGTTTCCGTTTTCGCCTTCTTATTCGGCGCGTTGGAATTAGACTCGGATTTCCTCTTGGAGCCGGCTTTAGCGGTTACTGTTTCGACAGCACCCCCATCCTTATCGTCGCCTCCGCCCTTATTCCTCTCGATCTCGGCCACCTCTTCTGCGGTTAAGAACCGTCCACCGGGACCGCGAGGCCGTCGCATTGCATGGTTGTGGCGCGACTCATGAAGATAAGGCTTTCTACCCTTACTAGTCAGGCGCAGGGCCTCTTCTAAGCGTTGTCGAGCTACTCTCCTCTTAAGAATGCGATGAAATTGCTTGGCATTAACATATAGTGGTGACTCTTCGGCACCCGCTGTCATCTCGGGTGATTGCGGCGGCGGCATCGATTGTGTTGGGGGCATTGGGGGCGGCGCTACGGCGGAACGGGCATTGGTGTGATTCATCATGGGCGCATTCGGGACGCCAGGGCTTGTGACCTGGCTTAAGCGACGACCGGGTAGCTGATTGACATTATTTAATTGTTGGGGTGATCGGGGATCTCGCGAATCCTTCTTGCCGCCGGCCGTCATTCTCGGAGAGTTCTGAGGAAGGCCAGAGTCGGAAGGCATGTAACCAGAGTAACCGGTTCCACCAGCCGCTGCAGCGGTCGCGGCCATCGCTGCTGCTTGAATCTGGGGTACACCGTAGTGCATCCCCTGTTGGGGTACTCCGTACTGGGTTTGATACATGTTGTGATTCTGTCCCGGGGTGGAAGTCTGATGTTGAGAAGGTAGGATTGGTGAGGTTTGAACGCCGTGTGTGTGTATGCTGTGACTTGTTGGTGAAGTAATGTTGTTACCAGCACCTGAATTTGTGTAACCAGAATGCGCCGACTGTCCTGGTTGCTGATATTGCGCGTAGTCCATCATTATCGGGGACAAGCAACGCGCGGGGCGGCGGGGAATTTTGCGATACCCAAGCTTTGGTGTCTCTTACGCGATGCGAATCAGAGACAAGCGGGTAAGACTAAGATTAAAATCTGTTGGCCACTAAGAGAGATGCTTGTGGTACAGGGTATGGCTGAGATGATGAATTGAAGACCGTGCAAAGCTGGTTTCGGGTTGCTTGATGGTCCTTGGGATAAAAGGCTGTAGGCTGCTCTTCTAAGGTTGGCTGCAGGGCAAATGAAAGGTTGGGCATACGCGTTGGGATAACCCAGGTAGGTGACTTAGGTAGCCGCGAAGTAGGCTGGATGTGCATCCAATCTATTGGATATGCGTGGATGAGCTGGCACTGAGTGATGTGGTAGGTGCACAAGAGGGTCGCACCAGGGCATATGCAAAAACTCAAGTATCTCGCGGGGTGGGATCAGGATGGTTCAGATCCTAACGGAGGCGGAATTTAACAACCACGTGAGAATCTGGGGGATACGTGAGCCGCTATGAGGCTATCCAATTCAACAGCGAGCCTATGGAAATGGCACTGCGGGAGCGGGTAGCCTAGCGAAACAGCTCGAGGTCGTTCTCGAGGCCTATTCGCAACGGGCTTGTTTGATTGTGGAGATCTACCCAACCAGATATTAGATTCGTCGTGTTAAGTATAAGGGAAGCTCGGATGACGGGAGGGGGGGGGGGGGTGGAGGGGGTGAGAATCGTTCTTTTTTTTTTTCGCGCTGGGCCACCACTTGATGCGCTGGCATGCATGACGGAATATGCACAAGCTAGGGCCCCACCCTGTCGACCAGCTCACACAAGGAGCGACAGGAGATCAGACTCCATCATTGCCCAGCAGTGGCGCAAGGCAGAGGCTGCCCGATGCTATACCTTGCGAGGACATGGCAAAGAGCTGCACCTTGGAAGCTCCATGCGTAGTTGTAAATCTTTCAAGGCTGCATCGTGGGCGATTGGCCAAGAAACATATGCATTTGTCGGACACATGCGACGTACATATATGTAGCTCATTTAGGAAGAGGCAGTGGGCTGCTAACCACACCAAAGGTAGGGTGAAGGTGTGCGGCAGAAAAGGGACAAGGAAGGAAAAGGAAAGGCCCGAGACGAGTTACGCAAGAATGGATGGTTGGTGCCTTGGGTGGAGGAGTTTGCGACTTGAAGAGGGTATATCCGATCGTCAAGCCTTGCCCTAGTGGGAAAGAGACGAGATGGTGCGGTGCGGTGTGGGTGGTGTGTGGATGTATCGTTGCAGACGGGCAGATGGGGGATAAAGGGAAAGCGACGTAGGTGTAAGAAAAGTACCGGAATAGAAATACATACCTCTAGTTTTAGCAGGTTCCCGAGTACTTGGGTTGACCTGCACAAGGTACCGGACAGATGGGACTGGTTGCGTCTTTATCGCAAAAGACAAAAAAGTGAGCTCTTCGGTAGGCTGATGGTTAGATGTTAGCGGGGACAAATAAGGAGTCGATGAAGTAGACGGGAGTGAGATTATTATTATGATTAGAATAATTATATGAAAAAAATGAAAAAGACGGACGGGAATATTGACGAACAGGTGCAGCATGCATGTACCATTCTGGGGTAAGCTTGCGACAGGGCAATATATGAAAATAGCAGTGTGTAGCTATATGCCGGGATTGTGGTGGCTTTTCGGGGCTGGTTGCGTACGAGGAAGTTGGCAACTTAGGCCCGGTGTAAGAAGGAAAGGGTGTATAGTGTACGGCAAGTAACTTACCAAGAAAGCAGAGGTCTCAAGGTCAAGTTTGAGACCTGGGGGATCCGTCCCTGTCCACAAGGAGGATTCCGAAATAATGGCAACTGGAGCGACGATTGTATTCTGATTGAACGAAGGGAATCTTTGATAATTGTTGTCCGCAGGCAGCTTTAATCACCTGATAAGTAACTAGAGCCAATGGCAACAATGAAGTTTGATCTAGAGATGTTGATAGGTCTCTTCGTCTGTTCGAAAATGGTATTAGTTTTATAGCAGGCAGCAAAAGAGCGCGATGATTTGCTGGATCCGGGTGGATTTTGTTATCGCGTTTCTATATTGAAGCGCTTACTAGCTAGATTCGATTTAAGGTGACCTAGCCACCCATGCGACACGGTGCGATGCGATGCGACTTATATGAAAAAAAAAGAACAAGAACAAGGCATTGGAATCCCCCCGAAATAGATGAGGAATCCGTTACATGCTTATTGGAAAAAAGACAAAGGCAAAGGAAATAGATAATTAAAAACGAGGAACAATAGGTGCCGTACCTTTAGGGAGTCTTGCGACAATTTGTTTTTCTATTTCTGCTGACGGGTTGTATAAAGTCCTATACAGGAAGGAATTGGCTTTGTCTGCGCGCACGCGCAAGGTGAGCCGGTAAGGAAGATGTATTTCTGTCGCACCTTTAGAACAAAGATGCGCTTCTACGAGTTATGATACTTATTCGACGACGGCACTGTCGACGAAGCAGTATCGGTATCAAGTATCAAATGCTAGTATAAGGCGTATAAGCGTAAAAAGCGTATCAGTGTATCAGCGGCGATAGGGAGCGCGCGTATGCAGTGATTGACGTATGGCGCGTTCTTCCTGGTTGGCTGTGTGTCAGTTTATTTGGGTGCGCGCGGTGCTAGGCAATGCGCGGACGGTTCGCCTTTGTGTGTTCAATGTTGCTTGTACCTACCTGGATGCTGGATCTTCGCAGGTGACCCGAAGATTGTTACTGGACAGAAAAAGATTGGGTGGTTCCCAGTCAGCCCAGATAATGCGGAGAGCGGAGCGGATAAATGTTGGACAAAGAAGGCGAGTCGTATGGAGTATGGAGTATGGATTGTACTATGGTATGGTATGAGAGAGTGTGTATAAGGTATAAGGTTATTGGAAACAAGGGCTTCGAGAAAAAGACTCGATTTGATTCGATGTTTTAGAGGGAGACTTTCTGGGTGCTGTTTGGATGAAAAAAGACAGAGCGTGGGAGGAAGGCAATTGATTCGATGAATTTTTAACAAGTGGTGGACCAAGGGCGGATTGGCGGATTGATTGGTGAGAAATAAGGCAGAGGACGAGTAAAAATTGAGGGAAGGGCGAAGCGTTGAATGGGGGCTTCCTGAGGGACCCGACGTTTTAACGGGGCTGCATTTTGTGACTAATCAGCTGCCATTTTGAAATCTTCGATGTGGGTTCTTCTGTGGGTACCAGCCCCGCTATCGTGCCAGCGTAGGGATAGACACACACTGTGATTGCATCGTAACCCTAGCTCGAACCCCGTTCCTGCTACATAGGTACCTAACCTTGGCACGACCCACACTGACATAAGTTGGGTACGTACCGAGTCAATACCTTTCATGTCGATTTTTATGCTGAAAATGTTCCTAGGAATTTTTGTGGCGGCTGGGGCTGGATATCCACCCACTTATGCAACTATGTACCGTAGGGTGTTTCGCTTCGATGTTTTTTTTTTCTTTTCTTCATAGCTTCCATTTTATCGCTCAACCTATTTTTTCCTCCTACTTCCATTCCATTATTTTATTTTTATTACTACTGCTACATTACCAATTATAACCAGTTTTCATCACATCTGTAATCTATATATAATCCCGATTTCCTTGTGATTGCAAGGAAGCTAGCGTGTTTCCTCACATTATTCTGACGCACGAGACAATACCACTTACACGTACATAATAAAACCAACAATTCTTTATTCATGCGTCTTAGAAGACCTACCCGGCAAGTAGCTAGGTACCCGGGGACGTTGACAAATGGTTTCTAGTAAATGCGTAAGGTGCGTAAGGTGCGTGAGCCGGTGGCTGGGTTTCTGCGGTATGTATTATTATTTTTCTCCAGCCCCCTCCCTCCGAGATCTTGTCGAGTTACGTATTCAACCCGCTTGACGTGTCAGCGTACTTTTCTCGACTGACGGGAGAATCATGTTTTCGACAGGGATGGCTCTTCTCCGAGTCCCCGCGTATACTAGAAACTTCACATTGCGTCTTTCCTACATGACATACATACCATACCTACCTAGGTACATACAGACACATACATTTACATTGCATCCTTGCCTACTCACTTAGGTCATACGTATCATACATTAGAACATAAGACAGCAGCGGCAGCGTCATGATGCTAAGCAATGCTGAGCAAAAGGATACACATACATGGCCTACTACCGCCTAATCCTGCCCTACGGCCTAGGTACTGTAGGCAGGTGGTGAGATTCAGCAGTGGGGTTTGGCTAATCGTAGGAACTTTCTCGGCTTTGCCAAAAGAAGGATCCAGGATAGATGCCGGACTGTGGACACCTAAGGCGGCAGACCAAACTCACCCAGGTCCCTGCCAGAAGAATACAATCTCTCTCCCTTTTATTATATGAAATTCGGTAAAAATTTCATCAGCGGTTAGAAGCTCCTGACTACACGCAATTCATCTTCAGACTCGGTCCAAATGTGATAACCCTTACATACACATGTACATCGAAGGATGTGCGAGTCTCCCCAGATCGACACCAGCATGGCAGATGATCACTGTGGCGTGTGGCAACGCTTGCTGGTTTTATTTATTTATGCTAAGCATCTCAGCGTTATGCACGGTATTGTACACCCAACACGCGCTACTAGGGGCATAGGACATAAGATACACAATACATACAGCCGTAAGACGATAGAACCCGGGTTCAGAAACTTGACCGATAAATACGATACTCTGGCTGGAGCTGTGAGCGCAGCATCCCAAGTCAAATTAAGTCAAGTCCTGTCTAAATTTAGGTCGTTCCCACATTCACCGACCACGTAAACTCGTAATGCGCATTCCCGCTATCATGGAATAGGGAAGGAATTGGCATCGTTCTCTTATGTGTTTGCCTATTTCATACTATACTCCCTGGTTTTAACACGTCACGGAGATGCTAGGCCCGCCTGACTCTGTTCGGCAGCGAAATCAGGGAATGCGGAAGTACCCGTGGAAGAGGGTTTTCCTGCTAGGCGGCTCCAATATCTGCATGTCAGCAATCACAGTGTGAAGCTCTGCCACACGAACGGAGACACTGTGAAACTGGTACATACTTCTCTCTCCCGCGGTGCATCATTCTGACGGTGAGGGGAGCCGGCCGGTCCCCGTTCCCTTTTCCTTTCCTCTGCTCAGGCGTTTTATCCCATTTCGATCTTTAGTCCGATGCCTTCCGAAGCGTCTCGAATAGTACGAAAAAGTCGGTGTAACGAGACTTTGCAGTAGCTTACTTCAGACCGAGATTCCTAGAAAGGCATTTTTACTT